GTCCTCTTTTGGGAGACCAAACAAAGTAGTTTCGCTTTCACAACGAAACACTCAGCGCCTTCACGACATGGCAACAACAATACTACAGCGAGAATAAAAGTTACGCCTTCTTTCTATGCGTGAATATTTGGGCGGCGTTATGCAAATCTTCCCACATAGTGAGGTAGATATGTGGGGGCGTGTTTAGAACAAGCCGTTTTAGGTAGGCGTGGCTGACTCTTAACTTTTATAAATAATATCTCTTTGGATTTGAGACTTTAGTCTTTGCAACTTTACAGATCTTCTTTATGCACCAAGAGCTTGTAACACTCCAAAGAGAAAGGAAAACTTGCAATCGCATCATATGACCCCTTTAATGAAAATATTGCCCTCCACTATAGGAGATTATATATTTTCAGTGAATGATGATTTATTTATTTTTTTACATGAATTTTCCTTTTTTGTGGATCTGGTTTTGAAAGTTTAGCTGCTTCTTTTTTATATTTTATTTGTGTGTTTTTCTCCTGGAGTGCTGATCAATAGGAAGAAAAGGGCTGAAAGGACCCTTGTTTACTCTGCAGAGCTAATTAATTCTCACTGCAGTTCTGATCAATTTCATTTCACACACCATTATGTCAGCATAAATATTGTCCCACTGTGCCCTCAGATAAATGCTTGTCTTTTCTTTTTTGTCTTTTTTCGAGTGTTATCTTCACTCCTTTCGATTCATCTTCACTGCTGGAGTTCCACAGAAACCTTTAATGTGCTAACGAGTATGTGACCTATTGTTATTGTCCTCTTTACTTAGCCGAGGCTGTAATCATAATCTTACATTCTTTCCTGAAGTTCATTCCTTCAAGCGTTACAGTAATGTCAGCATTTGTGAAAGCAGTGTTTTCATAGCCTGTGTTAAAGGACATTATGGCTTTGAGCAATTTTATGAGGTTTTAAGAGGCTGCTTGTGATGCCACAAAGCAGCTAAAGGAATAAGGTCACCTACAAGCTTTCTAAAGGTTTTTGTTTTCTTTTGCTATCTTTGTCCTTCCTTTTTCCTCTCTGTGTTCTGATACAAGACAGAAGGCACTGCATAGAAAAGAAAAGTACACTTCTCACTTTGAAGTAACTGAATAGGTCTTATTGAACATGTCTTTATTTACACCTCCACACTTTTATTTTATTATTATTTTATTATTTTTTAGGACAGCAGAAAGAAAAAGGAGAGCGACAGAGAGAGAGAGAAAGAAAACAGGATCACGGCTTGATAGGCTAGACTCAAACACCAGACAAAAGTTTCAATACACTTTTCAACACCGAATTTCCTATGATATTAAAAACCTTATGACATAGGGATTTAAATCATTAAAATTGCTGACATAGTTATGAATTTGCCAACATGTTTTTTGTAATCTAGGTAAGAGGTATTTTGACAAAATTCAAATATAAGATATAAGATGAGTTTTTTTTATATAATTCCCATACTTGCCTTTGTTTTATTGTATTTTATTATTATTATTACTATTATTATTATTACTATTTTTGATGACTTGTAAATGGTTGAAATGGTAACAGAGTGTATCTTTTTTTTTTACTGGCACATATAACAATTTTGGGTCAGTGAGTTGTTTTTTTATAAAAAATAATACTTCTATTCAGCAAGGATGTTTTAAAATTACTGAAATTGACAAAGGGCATTTATAATTTTAGAAAGGTTTTCTACTTCATATAAATTCTGTTCTTTTGAAATACTTATAGCTGCAGTGGAAGCTGAATTTCCGATTAGTGTGGGAACTGGATTCAATTTTGCACAGGAATCAGTGTCGTTAAATACAGGATCTAGTCCGTTGACAAGTTGCAATGCTACTTTGATTGCCATTGTCACAGAGGCACAAGTGTCATATATATGGTACCCTAAAGTGATGCCCGGTAAGAGATCGGAGCTGTTGTTTATCTCTTTGATGGCGAACTGTAAGGCACGAGCAAAGTGTAGTTCTCTGAAGTTCATACTGTTGAAGTGCACACATGCAAAAACTATATTATTAATATTAGTATTAATATATAACATATGAATTAAAATAATCCATTAGCTTATTTTGCACAAAAACTATTTCTTTCAGCACAAGCAGTTCAATCCATTCAAGATTGTTCTATGGACTTTAATCAAATTCATATAAAACTCTAACCTGCCACTGCACACAAGTGGTTGTGGCCGTTGAGTGTAGGTTTGCTTCTCAGTCCTCACATAATAATGAATGGTGAAAGCCCCTCCAATGACAAAGTCTCCATCCTCAAAGAGAGCAGGGGGTTGAGGGTCACCTTGGAGTATGCAGCTGTTTATATTAACCCCACACACAGCAGGACAAAGCCTGGTAATACATAGTAGTGTCAAGGTCAATAAAAGTTTAACATGCATTTCTCTATAGGCAAGAAACCACTCCAAATGTGAGGTGAAAATTATGCCTTGGTATATATAACCACCACAGTCACTACTGTTGTAGGGTATGCTGTAACTGTATTACAAAAAAGGGTGTGGTTACATCTGACATTCATATGTCTCAAATGTATTGCAAAGTTTCCAAACAACAACTATAGATATACATATAAGAAAGATGTGTGTGTGTGTTTGTGTTGTTTTTTTTGTTTTTTTTAGAGTAACTGTAAATTTGACACTTGCCTTGCCAATTTGATTTCGAAGGAGGGAGTGAAGTCAATATGAGGGGAGCTGGGGGCGAGGGGAGGCCTCATTGTCTTGGTGTGCACCAGTTTGGACTAACCAATACAGCGGTGCTTGGCAAAGGGGATCTTAGGGCCAACTGATTGCGGTGGAGGATCCATGGAGAGAAAGGATTTATCTGGTAGAGTTTAATTTCAGACATAGTTGCAATTGGGCGGGGTCAAATGCTGGAAAACTGTTGTGGAATAGAGGTAAGGACTGTTTCATACTGGATGTGCATATTTTTTTGGTGCCCATGTTAATAGATTAGAGCACTCACACTGGGCGGCGAGGCAGTGCAGCCGTGCATAGCAGAAGCAGCAGTGCCACGATCATTTCGGCACCAAGTGTATTTTTGTTGCGTTCCTCTCGTGGAATTAAAGCGACAATGCATAGTTTTTTTGGTCAAAATATAGATGTACTGTATTGACAGGGTTGGGGGGAGTGACGGAATACATGTAAAGGTGTTACGTAATCATGATACAGAAAAACAAATTGGTAACTGTAATTAGTTATGTCAAAAAACAAAGCACTCAGATTACAGTTACATTTAGTAAAAAATGGGAATGCTATCAGGATTACAATGGTTTCATTTAACCCTTGTGTTGTGTTCAGAACCCTTTCACACTTACGTAGGTGTAACAAGGTGAAAAATCTCCCCCAGAAAAGTATGAAAATTATCAAAAAAAATTTTAGAAGTAGTTATACCCTTTGTGAACACAGTCATAAAATTTCAGTCCAATGCGATAACATTAACTAGTATTTTCGGGAAAAAGAAAACATTTTCAGAGCAAAAAGGACCCGAACACCACATGAGGGTTAAGTAAGGAATAATGCACACCCGAGTTGGTGATGCAGCCACAACGCAAAGCAGAGTGGGAATTACTTGAATCTGTTCATCTTTCAACAGGGATTGGCAGCAGCCACCCGCACTGTTCTATTGTTTACTGTATTTATTTGCTTGGTCAGTGTCACTTAGTGTTTTGGTTCTTTTACTGTTGTAGGCTGTAAGGACCTAATTTGAAATAACATTTGACAAAGTGATATAGACATGTAACGTGATCAAGACCTGCATGGAACAACTAAATAACTACACGTTAACCAATCAGATTAAATCATTCAACAGTCCCATATAAATTACTATTTTGACATCAAAACGCTGTATTGACAGCTGCTTGATAAGTGGTTCCCAACTACATTCTTGGAGACCTCCAACACTGCACATTTTGCATCTCTCCTTTGTCTGACACACCCATCTCAGATCTTGGAGTCTCTACTAATGAGCTGATGACCTGAATCAGGTGTGTTTGATTAAGGAGACATGAGCTGTGTCCCAAACTGAAGTGCGTGGACTCCGGAGTGTGCATTTGAAATGCAATTGCATCACAGCGTCACAACGTAAGCTGTCCCAATTCAGGATGCACCCTCCGAAGACCGCATTCCAAGGCCGATTTGAATGCCAAGGACACCGCGGCGCGACAAAGGCTGACATATTTCTAAAGTGACATCAAATGCACCCTCCATTTCCCAGGAAAATTAAGTGTACATCTGATGGACACTTCGCACCCTACCATATCCCAGAATCCCTTGTGCGCAGATGACGACAGAGTTTATATTCAAAGAGCACGGCGGGTAAGAGTTCTGTGGGGGAATTCACATTGAAATGCAAGCATTGTGTTTTCATTTACTCAAATACCTAGCGAAACAAGTGT